TGGGTTGTTTCTCCATTCAACATTCATTCAACAAAGTTTGTTATTTAATGTGAATTTGAAAAAAAAAAATCTGCATTAACTAAATTTTGTGTGAAAACGACATTAATTGTATTAATGGTATGGTCACAACAAACAGATGTTGTGATAATTGTGTTTAGAGTTTTGAAAATGTGAATACAGAATGGACAAATGGATGTTAGCAACTTCAAAAAACTGTAATTTCACATACTAATATGCTGTTTGGGATCTGGTTCCAGTTAGGTACAATACCTGAATCTCTTTCATTCACGGTCTCTCTCACTCATCTCTGCCTGTTTCTGACACTGCAGGCATCTGCAAAGAAAACCAGCTGCTCATGCTAATCTGGTGACACAGGTGCTAACGGCAGCGACTGCCTCAATGGAAAGGTTCCAAACATGTGGACAGGCTCCACCAGACTCAGCAACTGTCATGTGCAGCAGGGTGCTCATGATAAAGGAGTGACTGACAACTCCCTTACTGAAAGTTTTATCTACCATCCATCCTGTTAAAGTATGAATCTGTGTAGTGTTTTGATAACTTGAGCTGAAGCGCTCCACTACAGCCTGCTGCTAGTGTTACCTGAAAGAAAGCAAACCTTATTCAGACAGTAAATGGTCCTGCCCATGTTCCAAGAGCTCAGCTGGCTGCATGATGGAACATAAACTCAACAAGTTTGTTTCAGGATTTGTGCAGCTGCACAGAGCAGCCATGAGTATCAGTGGGAAAAGCACTGTGTTCTGCGGATAAATAAACTACTCGGTCAGGCCGCCTGCATCAACAATGACCCAGTCAGCTGCTCGCTCAGCTCTTTCTAAAGGCCGTCTTAAATTTTCCTAAGCACTACACAGTGATGTAGTTGCTGAACTAACTGTATGAGGTCTGGCTACGAGTCATAATACAGCAAACAGTCTTTCTGACCTTTAAATTAAATCTGTTTGGTACTGGTGCAAAAGCTTGAAACCCTCACATCTGAGAAGCTATAACTGTCAAAGTTGTTTCAGATTAAATGGTTGTAGATTACTTTTCTGTTGGTGGTTTAATTACTTATTCAGAATCAGATTAAGCTTTATTGGCCAGGTGTGTTGGACACAGGAGGGATCTGACTCTGGTACAGCGGCTCTCAGTGTGTGTGCAGTGTTCTTCGTGTTCAACACACCTGGCCAATAAAGCCGAATTCTGATTCTGCTTC